CCGACTAAGGAGACTGGCTATCCATACTGGTGACCCATACTTAAAAAATCAAGTCAACCGACTTAACAGAAGTATCCAGAGTCAAGATAACGACTGCTACAATGAATCCTGGCAAGAGAAACTGGAGGCAGTCCTTTCAACTGGAAAGGACCTTTTCCAACTTGCATAGAATCTCAAAAAAGGACCATGGAAAAGCACACCTCACCTTAAGGTTGGCAACACTACAATAACCGATCCAGTCCTTAAAGCGGAAACCTTTGCGGATAGTCTCGAAGAGCACTTTCGGAACAATCCTCCGTTATACCCTCTACAAGACCGCAACGTAGACACCACTATTGGGATCATGCTAGAACAACCAGTGGAACACCCCACGCCACTTCCAAACATCACAACTCAAAGCGTGAGGGAAACCAGATTAAGTCACAAGCGCAGAAAAGCCCCCAGTTTAGACCAAATCTCCAACCTGGCCAATAAGAAACTACAACAGATTGAGGACCTAACCAAAATCGTCGAAGCTACTCTCCGCCTCTCCCATTTCCTAGCATAATGGAAAAAGGCCAATGTCATTCTTATAAGGAAACAAGGCGAATCTAGTACCAACCCTAGCAGCTATCGCCCAATCAGTCTCCTCCCTGCCCTTGGCAAAGTGGCAGAACGACTCTTCAACAAGACGAACAGGTCACGGTCTCTCACCAGACGAGCAGGTGGGTTTCAGAGCACAGCATTCATCATCTGATCTAGCTACCCGACTAGCCAAAACCGTTTTGAAAGGCGCTAACCGCATAATGGAGACTGGGGCAGTACTCCTAGATATCTTAGATATCTCGAAAGCCTTCGATAAGATGTGGCATCAAGGCCTAATTCTAAAGATGTTAAGATACAACATGCCTCATCACCAAGTGAAACTAATTGATTCGTTTCTATCAAACCGGTACTTCTGCGTGACCCTGGACAACAACACCACCAACCAAGCACGATTCGTAGCTAGAACAGTACTTGCCGGCGTACCCAAATCCTCTCAGCACCCTTCTGTTCAATCTTTTCATGGCAGATATACCGAGAAGTAGAGAATCCACTCATCAAGCATACGCTGATTACACCGCAATTACAGCCACAGCTCGAAGCAGGCCAATCATACGAGTCAGACTACAAAGACACCTCGATAGCATCGCCTGGATGGACAGGTGGAGGCTGAGAGACGCAAATACATCATGTTCGGAATGAACAAGAAAAGGCCTCCAAAGAAAAAATTCAAATGGGAAAAAACACCACTCTCTTGGACAATAAAGGTCAAGCACCTAGGAATCATTTTTGACAGCAATCAAACTCAACTGGGCGGAACATGTCATATATGTCAGGAACAAGGCTAAAGGCCAGTTCAAATAACTTTACCCACTCCTAAACAGACATAGCAAGCTGAACATTCAGACAAAGATAAACACCTATAAAATGTATATCAGACCTATAATAACTAACGGATCTTCAGCCTGGGCCACGACCATCAAAGACAGTCATCTCCAACCGCTACTCAGCCTAGAAAATAGGATTCTACGAAAACTTCTGAGCACACCATGGTTTGTGCGGAACACGACAATCCGCAGAGACACACAACTCCAAGAAACCATTTACACGATATTTGCATTAACTACAAAATATCCAAATTTCAGAAAAATCTATCAGAGATCCATTTGCCATAAGAGAAGTGCCTCCTCCTTTCAACAAAATTCCAAGGAATTTTTATGATATAACTCAGAATTTCAGTGGAATTCCAAAAAAAATTACGTGAAATGACCTGAAATACTCAAGAACTAGCAAAAAGTAATTTGTGAAATTACATGGATTTCCAAAAAATTCCTGTGAAAATACGAAAAAATATCTTTGAAATAAATTGAACTTTTAGTGGAATTCCGAAGAATTTTTAGGGAATTCTGGTGTGCAATTTATGAACATTCCTGGAACATTCTATAGTAAGAATTTCAGTGGAATTTTGGAAAAGTCTTGTAAAATTACACGAAACTTTTATGAAATATCAGAAAATTCCTATGAACATTCCTGAAACATTCTACGAACATTCCAGGAACATTCTATAAACATTCCCCAAATATTCTTCAAAAATTTTCCAAAAAAAAACATGTTGAAACATTCTATAAACAAACATTTCTAAAATATACATTGGAAATTTTTAAAAAAAAACATGTCGAAACATTTTTGGAACATTTTATAAAAATTCCTGGAATTAGACGAATTATTTCAAAAAATATTTTGGAATATTTTTGTCTTGATGGGACATTCTACGAACATTTCATAAACATCCCTTTGAATTCTAATTTCAAAATATTCTAACCTCAATTGCTCGGAAACCGTTGAGCAAATTGCATCGAAATTTTCAGTATTTGTTGCTCTTATAAGACTCTAAATAGCCTCTAATTTACAATATTCCCCGATTTATAACTTTTGAGCAAATTGAGTTTGAAGTTTTTGACACAATTTGGAGCAGAAGTCAACTTTGAGGGTCCATTGCTCAGAAACTATTTAAGCTATTAAATTTAATTTTGCACGGATTTATAGAGAATTCAATGCTCTTTCTAATGATATATATTTTATTTTAATTTGCTCAAAATTTAACAAAGATATGGGCAATTGTTTATGACCATGTCAAGATTTTGAAAATTTTCCAAAGCCAAAAATAGTATTTTTTTTTTTAAATTTGTTTCTGCTAAAAATGGCATTTTGGAAATTATGTCAGGGTTGTTTTTCACTAATTTTGATCTGCTCTATCGATTGGTGAAGTCAAAATTGAGTAAAACTGAAAATTAAAAAAATCGAGTAATCGAGTTTTTCATAAGGGTACCCCCTTTAAATTCTAATTTCAAAATATTTTAACCTCAATTGCTCGGTAACCGTTGAGCAAATTACATTAAAATTTTCAGCATTTGTAGCTTTTATAAGGCTCTAAAAAGCCTGTGATTTACAATATTCCCAATTTATAGCTTTTGAGCAAATTGAGTTTGAAGTTTTTGACAAAATTTGAACCAAAAGTCAACTATGAGGGTCAATTGCTCAAAAACTATTCAAGCTATCAAACTGAATTTTTGTCAAATCACCAAAAATAGTATGAATTCATTATCTAGTCTATAACACCACTAGTTGTGTTATGATTCCATAACCTAATCCATAACACCACTATTTGTGTTATGAACTCATAACCTAGTCCATAACACCTAGTTGTGTCATAAGTCTCATGCGACATAACTCACAAATAAGTCAAATACTATAGAAAAATGGTTATGTAAAAACGTTATATAACCAAACACTTGTAGATAAAATAATTATTATCATTGTATATCTCTCCAAATTCCATGTGAAAGTTTCTTGTTTCAACACACAAGATCAAAATAATTAGCAACCGTTTTATCAGAATCATGCTCACATAAATATAAATTTTAAAAACGGGCCCCATAAATTAGATGTCCCGAATGCCCATATAAAATATGTGCGGTCGTTCCCATAAACCAACCTTATAGACAAATAACTGTGAACAATTAGATGTTTATTAATTATCAACGGAAATTTATGATAATTTATTTTTAATTTATCGGTTTGCTTAATTTGATTTAAATTTCTCAGGTCGTCGAGTATGATGGATTTATGAGTTTGTGATCTTTTGCGTCGTGGATTAAGAATTTATTTACGATGTACCATTAGGACAACAACTGATATAAAAATAAATATATTCTGATATAATACATTGAAGCATGTAGAATGAAACATTGAAATCTTAACGGAAATATGGAAAAACTGGAAAAGATATGAGAGGATGAAATCTCCATATGGTAGACATGAAAGAGAGCATATATTTGATAGGCATGATGTCCTCTCAATTATATAATTAGGTAATTTTGTTGATGATGTTGAATCAAATTGCTCTGACACGGAACAAATTTTGCTAATTTTTGACAAGGATAGTAATGAGCATGGAAGGTATGTAGTAGTTCTGGAAGACAGCGAGGTTTCGTGGCAACAGAGCCATCCTTGTGAATCCCAGTTTGTTCCAGAGCAATGACTCGCTCAAAAGTTCAAAATATTCCATTCTAAAGATAGAGATAAACGGGTTTAGGCAAAGCCGCCGCCGTTGAAATGATTATTGGAGAAGCATTAACGCTGAAGATGAAGATCAGCTTTTCAATATACCTACAATTATGAAAGATCCATATTGTCGAAGTTTCAATAATAAGAGATCCAGAAATGTCATTAGAGTGCAGGGTTGTCCAAAGGTAATAGATGATAATGTCTCATTCATGGAGTGATATTTTTCACCCTTGCATGAGAACTATTATTATTGAAATATGATTTATTTCATTGCCTTATTTTTCCTTAACATAACTAAATATGAATTGAATTTAATTTTTTTTGCAGAGCAAAATATATTTGCAAGAGTGCAGACTACAGATTTGATATTTCAAATTCCAGTATTTAAAATTGGAAGTCATGATAATAATTATATCAATATTGCTAATACTAGATTGTTATTAAAAGAAAAAATGTATATTCTCATGAAAGCCTGACAACTAAATTGAATATATTCCTATCACTGCAATGAAATGTTGAACAATATTAATTTCTCAATCTCTAACAAATTACTTATAATAATCATTTTCCGACCTATATATCCGCTGAATGATTTACTCACCAACAACATATAATGTCAAACCTCCTTGCAGCTACAACCATTTCTGGTGATTAATGACTTTAGAATATCGTCAACGACCGTTTAAAATCTTTCGGGGTCGCGACCTTTACAATATTTATTGAAGAAATTCTTCTGATGATATATTGGTTGGTGTCATCATTAAAAATACAATATTAAATTAGTAATTACAAAAAAAAAAATATCTACAAACCCTCCGGTGAACTTACGTCTATCTGTAAGAGAGGATACCATAATGAAAATTTTACCATTTATACAAGCCAATAATTAATAAACCATTTCCTCGTTTACATTAACACAAAATAGACCAATCGTACTTACTTTGTCCAAGATGTACTCGTTTCATCCACGGATAAATCTGAGGAGGATTGCCCTGGCTTCCACTTTTCGAATTATTGTTGTTCGAATTCACCTTCTGTTCATTACTCGACGTTGAACTAGTGCTCGATGCAGGTGACGATAAATTTTGTGAAACTGTCGAAGAACCAACTCCGCCTTTAATTCCCGGTGACGTGCTCACTGATAAAGGTGAAGTTAGTCCAGAAGATTTATTAGAAGTTATTGTGGCATTACTGTTACTCGACTGAGTATTTACTAGAGGTGGCGTAGCCCTATTTGGAGGTGCATTAGTGCTGAGATCTTGCGGACTAGCAACGCCAGTTGAAGATGTCGAATCAGCATATTTACAACTAGCTGACGGATTGAGCATTCCAGGACTTTGTCCGCCAGGACTCGCATGGTGCATGTGTGAACTTGCGCTGGCACCGGGAATTCTTTGCGGTTGAAGTTGAGTGTAGTCTCCCATAGGTTGCAGTCCATGACCGGGAGCTGGGGCGGCATACGGATGAGGTGTGTATCCTTGAGGACCCACTTGAGGTGGTGAATAACAGGCTGGAGGATAATTTGCAGCGGCTGCCGCATTCGGATTGTAATAATCGCCTCCAGGGCTGGCAGTTTGATGCGATTGATCTCCAGCTCGTCCTTGTTGAGCATAACACTGAGCTAAAGAATTCACGAATTGATACGAACTCATTTTTATTTTTTTAGTTCAAATGAATCAGTGTTATTTACACAATAATAATCACAAAAATCATCCTAAAAGCTGCACTATCATTGACGGAAGGGCGCGTGGCCTAATGGCAATAAAACTGTCACAATGTGTTTTACGACCAGACCCGGTTACCAATGAGTAGAGCGAGCGACATCGCGAACGCGACTAACTTGCCACAAACGACCGTATCACGTGGAATCTTATGTGATATTAAAACAACGCACGGCGAACAGGCGCCACGACTGGGCAAGACCACGAGTTTTGCCTGTTATCCCACACTGTTTTGCTTCGCACAACTTTAACAGATAAAGATAGCGCTATGCGAGCTTTTAAACGTCGAACAGAAACAGCACGTTCTAGAGGGGATAGCTTAGTCGCTTCGTTATCTATAAACGCCGAGCTTTGGCAAGCGCAAGTCGAAGGCGGAGCTCTAAACGCGGGGCGGCGCCACCGAAATTCAAATTGATAATTTGTGAATTGTTTAAGATTTGATGCTCAGCTGAGCTGAGCGGTCTACTGGATTCCGGTAGCCGATCTAATGAATCAACGGAAGATGATCGTCTCGATTTGCTTCGATTGCTCTTTTAAATATCCCCGTTTTCAGTCGTTGGGTTATTGAAGCTTTTGCTTTGTCAACAAGAATCTTGTTCAAGTAAGAGTTATGTGAAATTGTTATTATTTTTTCTTCATTATCCAATAAAGTATGATACAAAACTATCTATCAATTGAAGAAATGTTTCTAATGAGACACAAACAAGTGGGTACGTGAACAAAATTTAAATTTGTATGTATTTTTTTGGGAACATAAATAGGTATGCGATGCTCAGGAACTGCTATCCAATTTCAGTTATTTCTGCACCTGTAGATATCCAATGTAGGTACCTAGACATAAATTTTCTGAGTTCTTGATAATATACTTGCATTTTTTATTTCCTGACTTAACTGACTTTTGGTGAATCCAGACAAAAATCTGCTTTTTTTGGAAATGTCTGGACCAAACAAGAATAACAGCTTCTTCCTGTTTACGGTTTATAAATTGACTTTGTTTTATTCGACTTCTTATTTGATTCGTATTATATTCTATTTCCAGTTTTTATGACTGATGATCTTTTGCTGATGTACCTACAGGATCAAGTAGATTTTATGTAAAATATGGATGCCTCGATTTGTCGTATTATTCCTTTGAAAAACCTAGGTATTTCTGGTTAGGTTTCTGGAATTGCCTTATCTATGTTATCATCCAATTTTTTGGCCTCAATATCTGTATTTTATATTTGCAGTGAACTGCGAACATTTTGGTTTATTCTTCTCGATATTTGAACTTACCTATTAGGTATTTTAGTTTCAGGAGCGTTAGGTAATTTCATCTTTGTAGGTACTTTAAACCTCAGTATTAAAATTGCTCACGAACTGAATAATGGGTAAAACAATAATAATATCAAAAAATTAACGATATTTTCCTTTGATTGTTTAAAACCTATATTTCCCCAAGTGTCCCCCCTAATGGAATCATAGTTGAAGATCTCATAAGAACTTGGGATAATTCTTTATACAAATACGAAATCCTGAATTATTGTCTTTTGTTCTATCTGAATCAGAATTACTTATACACTTTCAATTTGTAACTCTTTTTACCTATTGTTATGATAAAGGTCGTTCTGATCATGGGAGCAAAAGCTTTTCATATCTGCAAGTAGAAGATTTCCTTTCGCTTCACAGGTAGGTTAGGTACAAGGAGATTGCTGAACAAAGTTCTTCATTCCATCAAAAATTACTTACAATCTAATATTAAATTTCAGGTGTTATTAATTTTCTTGTTCTCACTATAACTAATACCGAAATCCACAATAATAGTAGTATCTTTCAACTCTTCCACACATAGAATTTCAAACTCATCTACCTTTATCCTTATCTCTATCTTATCTTTAAGGCAACAAATTAATGACAAAAACTCGATAATTTGAAACAAACAGCAGTTGGATTATGGACAGGAGTTATATGGTTGATCTGACATCATACAACATGGTTATAGGAATAAACAACCTGTAAGATTTGTATTGATAATGATAATAAAACATCAAAAATCTCAACTCATACAGGTTACTAAAGTCTCATGAGACACTAAAAATTTAGCAGTTTCCTTAATGACCCCTGACTATACTTATTTAAGTATGGAGTTTCTCTTGATCAGATCTAGAACTCCCTAACATGTTGTGAACATTGTACATCTTCATATTCATCATCACCACTGTCTAGACAGTGCAGTAGTCACTACTAAAATGGAAATGCTTCCGGGATGCTGGGCAAACCTAAGCTGGGACAATTGAGGCCTTCAGTATCAAAAAAGACAACGTAAATATTGTAAATATAACAAATAATCATTGATGCATGTGCCAAACGTAACGCAAGAAATGTATAGTCCCACTTTAACATGCTTGCGTTTTGCTGCGTTACGGTTGCGTTATAGATACCTTACGGCTTTATTCCAAAATTGACATACGAGAAGCATAAGCAAATTTGAAGAACAGTCCCTATTAAAAAATTAGGGCTTTCACATCCGGTAGTTGATGTTTTCCGGTCGTAGTCCGATTTGTGAAGACTTTTAGCAAGTTAGGTAGGTACTTTCCTAGGAAGTTCAGAGAAAACGAAAAGAGTGTTGAGGAAGTTTGTAGAAATCTATCAGAGCACCTACGATGAAATAAGTCCGAGGAAGTTCGGAGAACCTCTGAAGAAATTCAAGTAAGTATGGACAATTACTGAGGAAATATGAAGGTGTACAAGGTGTTTCTTTATATATTAACACCCCACCTACAGCCTTTACCAAATACAAAAATTGTAAAATTGTAGAAAAACAAAATTTGAATGTCAAAAATGTGAAATTAGGTATGCATGCTTCCAGCTTTTTTCAAATGGGATACCCTATATTTCATTCTATATTCTTGAAGAGCATAATGCCCCGATTCCAAAAATATATAGTTTGTCTATATTTGATTGAACAGTCTTTCATATATTCGGCTCCAAAAATTGTAAAAATACTATCCTACTACGGATTTTGTGAACTATTCTACCTATACAGGTGAAAGGTGTAGGTAAAATTTGAGGTACTTGGTTTTTCTGATAGTATTTCAAAAATTTTCAGAACCAAATATGTTGGAGACGGCTCTACCAAATATAGACAAACTCTATCGTTTTGGAATCAGGAAATTGTGCTCTTCAAGTAGTGGTGCCGCGAGACGAGACTAGACGAGACTTAGGGTTGGTCTCGTCTCGAGACGAGTGATTTAGTCTCGGTCTCGAGTACCAAAGTCTCGTCTCGTCTCGAGTGGACTCGTCTGGTCTCGAGTTATACAGGGTGTCCAAAAAATAGCGTAAAAACTCTTCTCTATATGGTGGAGGACCCTACAAGGAACCCCAGAAAAATACTTTAAAAAATCTAGTGGCATTCTTAAGAAAGTTATTTGCATTTTAATATTTAATGAAATTGGCAACACTGAAAATATCCCGTTGACAATATGTCAGAGAATTAAATTAAATACCCATGTAACAACCTGAAGAATTCGAAGGTGAATTTTCTCATCTTCCTCTTTATATTACCAAAAATAATGCTCGAGAAGGATTTTTTTAATTTAATTATTTTTCTAGGGTTTCTCAAAGGGTCCTCTACTACGCGAAGAGTTTTTACGCTATTTTTCGGACACCCTGTATTTATGGTTTATGTTTTTATACTATAACGGAAGTCCAAACTCCACAGTGAAAAAGCAATTAGTGAAAAATCACAGTAAATAGTAACCCTGATATTTAGTTTACTGATTTCATATTCAAATAGCCCAGAATAATCCAATAATTAAGCTATGAAAGAAAAATTTTAAGTGTAATCTCGAGACTCGAGACTACACGAGACTCTCGCCGAGTCTGGTCTCGTCTCGTCGAGACTTCACGAGACGAGACCAAAAGCCAGTCTCGTCTCGAAAAGTCGAGACGAGACGAGACCAGTCTCGAGTCTCGCGGCATCACTATCTTCAAGAATATAGAACCAGATATAGGGCATCCCATTTCAAAAAAGCTGAAAGCATGCATGCAAAACTTTTCACATTTCTGACATTCAATTTTTGTTTCTGACCATGGATTCTAAAAATTTAGCCAATACTGTACAACTTTTGTATTTACACCTTTCATCTACTTATAAAGGTGAAGGCTGAAGGTGGGATGTTAATACATAAAGAAACACCCTGTACTTGAACAATAACTTATTAGTAATGTTACTTCACCAAACAACCTAATGTGGCAAATTATTCAAGTACAAACGAGTGGATTGTTGCGGAATTTATGGGCGGAACTCTGCGGGACGAGCGTAGCGAGTTCCGCAGCCATCTATTCATCAATACGTTGTTCAGGTACGATACTAACCTGTCTCACTCAAATGTCAGTTATTCTCATTAGTTCAAAAACTACACGTTTCAGGTGAGTATCTTATTTAAATAGTTCAACAGTATATTGGTGAGTAGATGGCTGCGTAACTCGCTGCGCTCGTCCCACAGAAGTCCACCCATAAGTCCCGCAATAATCCACTTATTTATACTTGAACAATAACTTATTATATAAAGTCAAAATTTTTAAGATTATGATTATTCACTTTTTGTCAATTTACAGGAATTAGTGATGTTACTTTACCAAACTAGTAACATAATGCGACAAGTTATTCAAGTACAAATAAGTGAATTGTTGCAGAACTTATGGGTTTCCGCAGCCATCTATTCCTCAATATATTGTTTAATTACGATACTAACCTGACTCACTCAAATGTGAGTTATTCTCATTAGTTTAAAAACTACATGTATCAGGTTAATGTCTTACTTGAACAGTTCAACAGTATATTGGGTGAGTAGATGGCTGCGGAACTCGCTGCGCTCGTCCCGCAGAGGTCCTTCCATAAGTTCCAACAATCCACTTATTTGTACTTGAAAAATAACTTATTATATAGA